ATCAAGAGATAGCATCAAGTGACCAAACAGACCATAGCAGGATCAAATAAATCACAAAAGAAATTCACATTTTGATTCAAACAGCTTGTGAACAATAAGCTATTGCACTTTAAAGCTTCCAAGTAAAGTTAAGCCGTAACAGCCTAAGGCATAAAAAGTCTCTTAAAAACAGAAAACCCTTCTTGATTTCCACATGATGCAACATGGCAACGGGTACATTTTGAACAGACCATCTAGAAACATTTATACTCACACACTGTGTTAAAAATAGAGGATTAAGAATTTAAAATAAAGTCATTTAAATTATTCTCTTTGGTTGATTATTTTTTCACTTAAGTGTGATTCTCTAAATCTTTTAAACCCTCACCGTTTCTCACACGTCATGACAGTCCATCGTTTGAGAAGTCCTAAGGCACGTATTACAGAATATTTGTACGCCCAAAGCATGTAATTCATCCTGCCCGGCCTTGACGTGAAATGATTCAATGTGTGAACAAATAGCAGCCAAGAACACAAGAGTTATTCCTGAACACTATCTATGTTTACAAGGCCTCTCCCTAAAACACATAAGTCAGCCATTTCTCTCATATGAACTGACTCAAAAGACAATCAATCCAAAAGTATTGACTACATAGCTTCTGTACGTAGTTTTTTGTTGAGCAACATTTATTAACTTTTCCTCCAGAAGGCAAATGTGTCCAATACCGAGGGGAGAATATCAGGTTTGTCCTGCACACATCTACCAGAGGTTTTTCAGTTCTGAAAATAAAAGACACCCTATACAATATGTAGAGTCCATCAATTTGTGCTTATTGGCGCATGAAGAGATTGATCAGTCCGGCATTATGCAGCTCTTGCCACAACCTCATTTCCATTCGCATGTCATGATTGGCAAAGAAACGCACTGCACGGCGCTGTTTGTCGTAGTAGTGGTCTGAATACAAAGTGTAGTCAGGGGTCATGAACCCGTAAGCATCAACCTGTTAATAAAACAAACATCATTATATCACTAACTTTCCTTGGCAGACAAAAAAGGTTAAAAGGTGAATATGCCATCATTTGAAAATAATAATAGGCTTTGAATCTACACTAAAGCCTAACTGATAGTATTGCCATTGTTTTTTTGTTTGGTTTTGTGTCTGTTGCTGAAGCAGCCATGTAATTTTAGCTTGTTTCTATGAGTCTGTTTTACCAGACTCGCACACGATCATGCCGCATCTCTAGTGCAATGCTGTACCAGGTGAGCTTCCGAGCAAGTTTACTACAGAGAAAAGCCAGTTATGTGGAGCTGGTTATGTTTTGCAAATGTCAAAATGTATTCTAAACAAATCATGCATATGGTAAAACGTTTTTGAGGGCTTAACATAGTATTATGCAAGGAACCGCATGAAAATAATACTTTGTTAATAGATAATCTGGCCCCACAATCATAATTCGTTTGAGAAGGAACAAAAACAGCAGTGAATTTTATGTATAGGAAAATTTTGAATGCTTTTTTGATGAGCCTGGGTTGGTTTTATTACGGCAATACTGTTGCTGTGCATCTTTAATATGTCACAATCAAGGTCACCTGTCCTGTCTGTTTAGACTACATATCTAGCATATGTTAAATAAGTAACATTAAGAATTGTTTAAACCTTTGACAAACTTGTAAAGTCATTCATAAGTGTTTGCATACAAGGTTAGGTACAATGACCTTTGTTATTATGTTGTTATCAATTGCGACACACTATTAAAATTGGACAGAAAAGGATATGGGTGTTGCTACTCATTTTAAAGCAGGGAACATTCTTAAGTTTGATTTCATTCAAATCTCAATTAAAAAAACAAAGCAAACAAACCTGGTCACATGTATGAATAGCAGCTAGGAGCATCACGGCTCCTGTCGACGGCCTGTAAATTCTTCTCGCACCTGTTTTCAGAAGGTTTGAATGCAGGAACCTTGATGAGAAAAAGGAAAGTGTTAAACTTCAACACATACATAGAAATGGAGACCAACAAAACAAAAAAGATCATCCAATCCATTTAAATCATCCAACCAATTCTGGATGATCTGTGGTCAAAAATATTTGTGTATAATAGCCACTCTCATATGTGACCATGGACCACAAGACCAGTCATAAGGGTCAATTTCTCGAAATTGAGATTTATACATCATCTGAAAGCTGAATGAATAAGCGGGCCACTCTCATATGTGACCATGGACCACAAGCATAAAAAAAAAAAAATGATAATTTTGACCCATACAATGTATTTTTGGCTAATAAGCGTTCCATTGATGTATGGTTTGTCAGGATAGGACAATATTTGGCCGAGATACAACTATTTGAAAATCTGGAATCTGGGGGTGCAAAAAAAATCTAAATACTGAGAAAATCGCCTTTAAAGTTGTCCAAATGAAGTTCTTAGCAATGCATATTACTAATCAAAAATTAAGTTTTGATATATTTACGGTAGGACATTTACAAAATATCGTCATGGAACATGATCTTTACTTAATATCCTAATGTTTTTTGGCATAAAAAAAAAAAATGATAATTTTGACCCATACAATGTATTTTTGGCTATTGCTACAAATATACCCCAGCGACTTAAGACTGGTTTTGTGGTCCAGGGTCACATATTACTCAGTGAGATCTTTGTTCTCACACAATTTCAACTGTTTTGAACTCTCTATTCATCAAAGAGTCCTGAAAATGAAAATCACGGTTTCCACAAAAGTAGAAGAAAGAAGCACAACTGTTTCCAACATAGATAAAGATAAGAATTGTTTTCTTGAGCAGCAGATCAGCATATTAGAATGATCATGTGACACTTAAAATTCAGCTTTGCCATCACAGGAATAAACTACATTTGAATTTGAATTTAAATTAAAACAGAAAACAGATTTCAAATTGTAATAATATTTCACAATATTATAGTTTTTACAGTATTTTTGAACAAATAAATGCAGAGACTTCTTTTAGAAACATTAAAAAAAGACTCCAAAGTTTTGAACAGCAGTGTGTATTTTGGAAGCAGTCCTTCAATAAGCGGGATAATGTGCAGTTGATCTCTCCGTCTAGGATTAATTTTGCAATAACTACTATCCGAGTGTACATTAGCGTTTGTTTGCAAAGCTTACCTGTTTCTGAGGTAGCGGATAAAGTCTGGGTGGTAGATTTTGAATTTTTCTACTGTCACATCTTCACCAAAGTATGTAGGGGGACTGAAAGAGATATGCATTATAATTAAATTGAGTCTTCTTTGTGTATGTAATGGGCTATATTATAAAAGTGTCAATTATTTACAAGTATCAAAAGCGTGAGAGTTGGATGTCGTGAGAGATGGGCTTTATCTGATGTAGTGATCAAGGATGCGCGTAAGGAACTTTAGACGTGGCCAACATAGATAATGATAAGAATTGTTTTCTTGAGCAGCAGATCAGCATATTAGAATGATCATGTGACACTTCAAATTCAGCTTTGCCATCACAGGAATAAACTACATTTGAATTTGAATTTAAATTAAAACAGAAAACAGATTTCAAATTGTAATAATATTTCACAATATTATAGTTTTTACAGTATTTTTTTACAGTATTAACAAATAAATGCAGAGACTTCTTTTAGAAACATTAAAAAAAGACTCCAAAGTTTTGAACAGCAGTGTGTATTTTGGAAGCAGTCCTTCAATAAGCGGGATAATGTTCAGTTGATCTCTCCGTCTAGGATTAATTTTGCAATAACTACTATCCGAGTGTACATTAGCGTTTGTTTGCAAAGCTTACCTGTTTCTGAGGTAGCGGATAAAGTCTGGGTGGTAGATTTTGAATTTTTCTACTGTCACATCTTCACCAAAGTATGTAGGGGGACTGAAAGAGATATGCATTATAATTAAATTGAGTCTTCTTTGTGTATGTAATGGGCTATATTATAAAAGTGTCAATTATTTACAAGTATCAAAAGCGTGAGAGTTGGATGTCGTGAGAGATGGGCTTTATCTGATGTAGTGATCAAGGATGCGCGTAAGGAACTTTAGACGTGTCAGTTTACATAAAGGCTTTTTGTATATTTACTTTTTGCTGCGCTCAGGGCCTTGATCAATTGCTGTGTGTGTGGAAGCCGCCTTCATAAGAATATAATCTCTGTCATGGTCTGGCAGGAATATGTACCTGGTTTCCTACACAGATGGAGATAAACAGAAATAAGAGATAGTTAGCAGCAAACAACCTCCCAACTCAACATCAACACACTTCCCTAAACAAAAGGGTGTTTAACTTTTTGAACAAGGCACCATCAACACCGTGGGTTCCATTTCCAGGGAAGACATACCTTGATTGCAGTGTAATAAAATGCATAATGTAAACGGTGAGAAAATGTATTTGCTTTATTATCAACTTTCACACTCCGTTTTCTCTGAATCTGAGGATAGTCAAATCAAAACCAGTCTGTCATAGAACAGATCATAGTCAAAGGACTCAATTTCGCTCAATAAAATATAATAATTTTGACAAACAGTGGAGTTAGTGAGTCTTATCTTTTAATAATGCTTACCTTGGATATAGGTGGACCTCTGTAGCCTACGCGAGCATAGCTACGCATGGAGTTTCGCATGGTGTTGGTTGAGAATGTGTAGAATGAAGTCCGCGATCCCACATCATTCTCAAACCCTGTAAGAGCCGCACCATTTACCCTACAGATGGGAGACCAAAGAAGAGAATTATCGTGATATTAATCAATAAACATCAACCACCTTCGTTTTTAGAGAGAGAGAAGAGTCTAAATAATTAAAACATAACCAGAAACATTGATTTAAAGGAAAACTACACCATTAAACTAATCATACAAATGACTTTCAGACAACATATCAGATGTGCACAAGACATGTAAATACTTTCTTTCTGAGATTTGCCTCACTTTGAGGAGCACCAACCTAATAAATATTATTATCTCTTAATGATCAACCTCCTCACCTGAAGACATAGTCATGTTCATCGATCTCCTTGCCTTTCCTTGAACCATTCAGTATTCCACCGTTTCCCACCACAGCACAGCGAATGCACTCGGATCTGTGTGCTCCATTCTCCCAGTCATCAAACATCAACCGATTTGCAGGTGTATTTAAAATTGCCAGTGAGCTATTCAATACTGTGAACAACAACAGACACAAACCCCCCCAAAAAGAGAAATGGTTCATGTTAGACGTATCATGTAACTTTAACCCCTAATTATTTATATAATAAGTTTAAGTTATCATCTGTTAATTGCTTCCGGCAATAGTGAATTCTGTGTAGCCTTTTTAAAATTTTGCATCTAGGTTTTAGTTTTTTCTAAATTATTGTATTAGCTAAAAATACTGTCAAAACCCAAGCACAAAAAGTAATGGCACGGCTATATCACTCTGAAACCTTGGACAATAAAAAGACTGAGCCGGTAAATCTGAAGTTTTAGAAGATTAGTGACTTCAAGCAGATCCCCAAAGACACACCTTCAGCACTGACACTTCCCCAGCCGTGTGCTCCACCGTAGTGACTCAACCGCTGGTACTCTACTGGACTAAAATGCTTTGCCCATTGGAGCACTGGAATACTGTGCAGAAACATCTCAGCAAATTGAGTCTGAGGCACACGCTTCCTAATATTGTTGGGACAGTTCTGCAATAAAAACAAATATTGAGAGAGAGGTTAGTATATTTGAAAACACTATTTTCACATTTAAACAATGGCTGACAATTAAACACTAGAAATTGAGATTTTAAAGCAATTGGACCTGTTTTTTTACATGCATTACAATACAAAACAGTATTATTGTAAAATACTGTCACAATTTAAAAGAACAGTTTACTATTGTAATACATTTTAAAATGTAATTTATTCTTGAGATGGAATTTTCAGCATAATTTCTCCAGTCTTCAGTGTCACATGATCCTTCAGAAATCATTCAAATATGCTGATTTGGTGCTTAAGAAACATTAAAAAAAAAAAAAAAAAAAAATTTTTTTTGTATTTCTTATAACATAACTCAGAAATACAAAAAAACACGTAAAAAAGAAATCAAAATAAATAAAGAATTGAACATACAGGTCACCAGAGGCATCACATATAGTTCTTACTTCCTTCTTATACAGTTATTTTTATAATAGGGGTTACTTTCCCAATAATACCCCCCCCCCCCATGCACACACAAAAGGAGGAGGTATAAAAATAAATAATAAAAAATAAATAAATAAATAAAATAAAAGGTTAATTGAAGTCCATAAATTTCATTCAATTTAAGTCCTTAAAGATCAGTCCATTCAGTGTATTTCCATTAA